ATCGAAGGTCATGGGTTTGAACCCATGCTCTGATACCAAATTGCGAACCCATGCTCTGATACCAAATTGAACACTGTATTTAGAATGGCTAGAGAAAAAAATGGAAAGGAGAGGATCAAAGAGAGAGGGGCACAAGTCTTAGTCCTCATCCTCAACCACACTGCCATGGAGGTGCTGGGCGACAATCGCAATTCTTTCTTAACTTTTTAATAATGAATTTTTTTTTTCTTAAAGTTTTATATTATTTATAAATTTATAGATTTCACGTACTGCTTGAAAATATAATATGTGCACACACATACCTACGTGCCAATAAAATAAAAACTGATTATTCAATTATAATTTTTTTATAAACATAAAGCAGTATATACATCAGCTAGAAACCATGCAAATCATCATCTAATTATATTTAATTTTTTTATAATTAATAATATATAATATATGTTGGATCTGCCCAGCCATACAATCTCAGGGAGTAGGAACAAGCCAATCCTCACCATCTATATATGCCGTAGTCAGGAATGGAGCAGCCTCGGATGCATTGAGTTGCTTTGCATAGGGTGCCCTCTTTGAGTAGTCGGCTCCTGGCCCTGTGCAATTATACTCTCCAAAAAACAGTGTCCTATAAATGCATATATGCATGCAAAGTTGCAAACCAAATATATGTTAGTTATTGACCATGGTCGGGGTTTTATGGTTTAAAAATATTAAGGGATTCTGATTTTAAATATATATAAAAAGATTTTGATTTTAAATATATATAAAAAAGATAGGGACAGACTGGTCTCCGGTAGAGTTGTTCTAATCATTGCAACCATCCCGGGAGATCGAACATGTAGATTTTAGAGAAGATGGCTGTGGCATAGGATCCCCATGCACGCCCCAACCACACTTTGCTGATGCCCACCAACGTTGCAATTCACGAAGGAAAATTCACTTTTTCCTTCTTCGGAATCCCTTCCCTGAGCTGTGATTGATCCACTTATCCCTCCCCTCCCTCGTTAGCTATTGTTAAGATTCAGAATTTGAGAGACCTGGCGGGTGGAGAATATCCACCACCCGCCAGTTAGGCGGAAACAAGATATGTGAGAACCAAAGAACAAGAGAATAGATTATATTGAAAGAATACAATAGATTGTCTCTCTCTCTTTGTCTGTTCTATACTTCTATGGACCTCTATATATACTAAACTAGATACTAAATTAGTCTAGGAAACTACTAATAAGAATAGGAAAGAGAATAGGAAAGTAAGACAACTTTCCTAATATTCAACACTTGTGATTTCTTTCCTTAACATGTGATTTCTGTGATTTCTTTCCTTTACACCCCCCCTCAAGTTGGAGCATGTAACAGAGAAATTCCCAACTTGGGAATAAGAGACTTTTGATTGACGTTGTTGCTAGCGTCCCTCTTGTCAGCGTCGACGATCTCCGTGTCTAAATCTCTAAGACTGCCTAATCTATAGAGATTCCAAATATTATATTTATATTCCATAACATTACAAATATATCACATGAGCCATAGGACTTCACATCTAGAGTCATAACCTTCGAGATCAACACCCATGTCTCGAACCACTTGATCAATCTTCAAACCACGTTGTGCCAAATCAGTCCACCGTTCAATCTGTTGCACTAACTAAGCTTCCACGAAGCCAAAAACAGGCCAAACACCACAGCGCACCTTCCACTCACACCCCACACCGTTATCAACACTGCCTAACACCACAGTGCTCCTGCCTCTCGCACCACAAACCATCATTAGCGCTGCCCAACACAGTGTTTTCCTGTTTTCCTGGTGCACACAATTGGTTCATCCCGAACCAATTCTTCTTCAATCATCGGCCTCCCATAACTGCCGTGGCATATGCCAGGTCCGCATCCCTCCTAGCATCCGTGCTGCCCATCACTGCAACACCCTGACAATTGGTTCATTCCGAACCAATTCTTCTTCAACCATCAGCCTCCTATAACTGCTGTGGCATATGCTAGGTCCGCATCCCTCCTAGTATCCGTGCTGCCCATCACTGCAGCACCCTGGACTAATTGACATTGAACAAGCTACAACGACTCAACTCATACCAAAATATGAGACTAATCCTATGGACCCACAATAATTAACCAAACAACACAATCCACAAGATATAATAAACCAAAAGCTCTGATGCCATGTTAAGATTCAGAATTTGAGAGACCTAGCGGGTGGAGAATATCCACCACCCGCCAATTAGGCGGAAGCAAGATATGTGAGAACCAAAGAACAAGAGAATAGATTATATTGAAAGAATACAATAGATTGTCTCTCTCTCTCTGTCTGTTCTATACTTCTATGGACCTCTATATATACTAAACTAGATACTAAATTAGTCTAGGAAACTACTAATAAGAATAGGAAAGAGAATAGGAAAGTAAGACAATTTTCCTAATATTCAACACTTGTGATTTCTTTCCTTAACATGTGATTTCTGTGATTTCTTTCCTTAAGAGCTATGCTATTAATTTTACATTCCTGCACCATACCATAATTGGTGGATTCAATTTCTGATATAATATTTAAACATTTATAAATATGCAATCAAACTATACATTTAGTTGAGATGGGAGGAGCAGACCTCGTAAAGTGATCTGGCGTTTCCAAATATGAAGTCAAAGATCATTGGATGAAACATTGTTTGAAGTAATGTCTTCCTCTGTGATTGTTAAGGGTGTCTTGTGCTCCATAGAATCCACATCCATAAAATGCAATTGATCTCCTAATATACTTATAATTATAGCCAATGCATGCGCACCACTTACACCTTGGGATGACGGAGGAGTTGTGTTCTTCCCACCCAAAATCCATTAACTCAGCTCAATCATACGCACGCACGTCAAAGACAATATATATAATTAACCAAGCATGCATGCATTATGCATATATGACTTGAGGAGAGGATGGGGTACCTGAAAGCTTATGTTGTAGGCTATGAATTTAGGAGCAAATGCACCAAAAATGTAGCTACTAGAAGTTCCTCCAGTGGAATTTGCAGTATCATTCATGATATAGCAGTGTTGAGGTAGTAGCCTTGGCCTTATATTATCAAATTTATCTGGCCACTTTTTCCCTGCTTACAATCACGTGCATGGATTAAATAGGAGTTTGAGTCATATAAATAGGAGTGGAGCTAGAGGTGACCACGGTTCGGTTCCGGTTCCGAACCGATGGTTCATGGTTTCGAACCAGTGGTTCACGGTTCCACCAAATCACAAATCGGAACCGGAACCGTCTGTTCTAAACTTCTAACCCATTTTTTTAAAAAAAAATAAAAATAAAATTGTATGCTTTGTTGCGCACAATTATATTCCAACAAAATAAATAAATTAGATATCCAAGATAAGGTTCAAACCTTAGACCATTTACCTTAAAAAGCAAAAGTCTTACCCACTAAACTATAGATACAATTGTGTTAATACTTACATACAAAACATATTAAACTTAATGTTGAATACAATTAGTTTTACTTGTTTCACAGAAAAGAGATAAGTCATGAAGGTGAGAATTGAACACATGTAGGATATTATATAGAAATGACAGGCGAATCTATCTAACTTACTTAATTGCGCTTATCTTGTAAAAATATTATTTATAATCTATTTCCAACTCTATAAATAGTTAAATAGTTAACACCCATCCTTCATGTTAAATAGTTGTGCTTATCTTGAGCCGTGACCACTTGGTTTTTTTTTTCACGGTTTGGAACCGGAACCGCCGGTTCCGGTTCTAAAATTTCTTGAACCTTAACTGAAACCGTACGGACGAACCGAACCGTGATCACCCTTAAGTGGAGAGATAGGGTCACCATTACAATTAATAAAAGTCAATCTTGTACATTGTCGAAACACATCAATCTTGCATTCTGCCAGTATATTGTTATTGTTTCAAGTAGAAGAAGAAAGTATTTGAAGATGGAAGATATTGTTTCAAGTAGAAGAAGAAAGTATTTGAAGATGGAAGATGATCGACCTGTAGGTGGAATCGATTATAATGAGTGTGGTAACTGGGCTGAAATCATGAACGTTGTCAATGGCCTTCTGGACATTGGTGAAGCTTCCACAACCATTTAAATCCACAGTTATAACGCGGGAAACGTTGTACCTAGAAATGAGGGGAGAGTCCCATTTGGAGTCATCGCACTTATTGGCCTTAGACCTGCGTTTATGGTGGTGTTTGGACCGCGAGCGCTTAACTTGTGGGATAATAGAGAGGAAATCATCCAACCCAGTTTGTTTGACTACACTCGCAGAAAAGGTAGTAAAGTGTTAGGAGTATTGATGGTGAGGACAGTAGTAGTAAGAAGGTTGGAGTAGAGAGAAAAGGTGAGGGAAAAGAATGCAATGGTGAAGGCAATGAGCCAAAACAAAATGGTGGTTGATCTAGTGTTCATCATGATTCGTGGCATGCAAGAGAGGAAATGTTGAAAATGGGTTTAATTTGTGCGAGCTGAGAGTGGTTTGCTTTATGGAATTGAATGAGATTAAGGCCGGGGTTGGTTTTATTATATATATTGCTGAGAAGGGATGGTAAGAATAAATAATAATGGATGATTAGCTTAGGAGGTAAGCAAAATATATATAAAGCAGCAAACTTTTTTGATTGATTATACCGTATATATGTACATGGTTTTGAGATGAAGAAAGATAATGGAGTTTGGATGATACACACGCTAAGTAAGAAATTTGTGTATGTTAGAAAGACGCAGAGAATGAGGTCTACTTTGCCGATTATGGCATGTGAGATTAATGATGAGCTTGGCTGGGTAATGCCCAGAGCAGTAGTGATGATGTTTGTTCACTTGCAAATTTAAACTTTTCATATATTGCCAACTGTTATGATTATGGCTGCATTATATTGCCAATGGATAAGCCAATTGCCGTTCAATCATTCACCGTCCATGTTAATATGCCGAAAGCAAAAGGGAGGGGGAGAAATATAAGTCGGAATCCAATTTGTATCAGACCTGAACTGAAAGACTACATTGACTGGAAGCGGGATAAACAGAGTTATACAGGGGGGGGGGCAATATCAAAACCCCAAAACAAGTTTGTTTTTTGGTGTCTTTTAACTTTACAAAAACGACTTCTACAGGTAGGTATTTCTAATCCTCTAAATCTCTCTCTAATTATCAACACTTGCATTCACCACCCTCTTTTCAACAAAATAAATAACCTCATCTCCAATCATTCACAAATTACTCTAGAAAATGGCCGGCTTATGTCTCCATTCTACTTTCTTGCTGCACCACAGCACCAGTTGCAGTTGCCGTTTCCGTTTCCACTTCCTCTTGCCGAATAATTCTACATTTGGGGACCATTTTTTCTAGCATAGATGTTCCTTTAAAGGTAATCATCTGCCAGCATATCCTCCTGTAACTCGCAAGCTGCAAACAGGCAAACATTCAGCACTCATTTTTCATGTGCTTCTGTAGGTATTACACGGTGACAGTTGCAAAATGTACCTGATCTGGAGGTATCTTTTTGAATCCAAATTTTTCTGTCCATATTGAAATTGCTTCATCAGCAGCTGGGAGAACACAGGTTTTCACATTCAAAAATGCGAACAATTTCTCTATGCACGAAAATAGCAGTTGAAAGTAACCCTGCAAAGCATTTCAAACAATGGGAACTAAAACACATCACAATGCATAAGCAATTGCAGGGCCATAACCCAATAACAAAAGTCTGTTGTTCACTGATATTAAGTGATAAATTGAAGTCTTAATCAATCTTATGTTTAACAACAGTGCCCACTCATCTTCCTCACCTTCCCTTGGTTCCCAATACGCGTTGCAACTAGAGGAATTTCTGCTGTGTCTCTACCAAAAACACGGAGGATGGCAGCTGATACTACGGTGGAGCTGCATGATTAGCAGAAAACCCATCAACAAATCAATTATAATGTACTCAAGTAAAAACTTCAAACACTAGAAACTATTGTACTTTACTTTAGAGTCAATATTGCACAGTACATGCCTCCAAAGTCTTGCCCCCTAATGTTCCTTCTGTAAGAGTGATACAAAAATAGGTTTATATAGAGAAAAAAAAAAAAAATTGAAGTTAATAGTTCAACAAAGCGAATGCACATTGAAGAAAACAATCCTTACCCATAAACCATAGATGGAATGAAATCACGCCCTGTTACTGAATCAACAATAGGATCAAAGCAGTCCTGCAACAAGTCATTCAACAACCCAATTTACTGCCAGCTATTTTTACACATTAATGAATTAAACAAAAAAAAGTATGCCTACCAAAAGAAAATAAATATTCTTGTGGAAAATATATTTTAAAAAAAAAAAAAGAAAAAGAAAGAGGTTGCTGCACACCAATATAATTCTTAGCCAAGCTCATATAAACAGAAAAGCAATGTACCAACTAATCTGCTCTTTCGAAATAATGTAATCCATATAAGTTTGCAGGTAGCAAGATTCATCACAAAGCACAAACTAATTCATTCCTACAACCGTAAAAATTGGCTTTCAATATACTGAATCCAAAGTAATTACTATGCAGGATCATAATAATCAGTCAGATCATCAAAAACTGTGGAGCACCAAAATTGAAGGGTTTCAGGACATACATGGAAAATTGCGACGGCTTCTGCGAGCAGAACCCTGGTTTCACGAGATGTCATTTTGCCACTTAGAAGTCTCCATCTCACATCAGTATCACCAATAGAATCGATACCTTTTTCCATTTCCTTTGCCCTTACTATATCCAAACAAGTATCTGGCAATTTCTCATCTCCAGAGTTAAGCAAATTCTGCAGTGCTAAATATATCCTCTTGCAATCAGTGCAACAGAACCATTTGCCTTTTGGCAATTCCTGTGGTGCAAACAGCATGGAACAAATTAAGACAGTAATATGGGTAGAGAGGAGAAAGCAACTTCCACCATGAAATAGATAAATGTTAGGGTTTAAGGAAATAGGAATACACCTTAAGATCAGCCATCTTATGTTTTTTCAAGCAACCAATGTGATATTCCCTCTCACACTGGAAAACACAAACAAAACTCATAGTAAGGCATCTTACAATCACAACTCTAAGGTTGAAACATGTGAATATATATATATATATATATATATATTAGAAGTGCATTAAAATTACCTGGTCACACAGTATAACTGTGCGTGGACCAAAACCAGACCTGCTAAAATCATAACCTCTGCCAGCATCCAATTAATTTGGATGTAAGAAACTACATCAGTCTAAAAGCAAGGATTCATTGACACATCAAGCAAAACGACCATACCTGCATATTACACATGCAATAACTTCTGCTTCTTCTGGGTTTTTAACAATACGAATGCAACGTTTCGTTATCTGCTCTATTAAATCAATACCAGAGACCCTTCCTGCTGCTAAAGCATTTGCATTGTGCTCCACAAACTTCTCCCTCTGGAACATATTTTCACAATATTTGCAATACCATTTACCACGAGGAACACTAGGCAAGGATGCACATCCTGCACAGGCATATAGATCAGACATGAATTTCACTGGGAAAGATGCGAAATTGCCATTTCAGGAAACCATGCAAATATACTTGGGAAAACCATTAGCAAACAGAAGCAGTAACAATCTAAAAATTTAACTTTTCAAGATGAGCTAAAACTCCAAGTAAAATATGCCCCTGCAGATAGCCCACTTTGAACTGATTGGGTCATTACATTATCAGAAGTTTATTTGCTTTAGACTAAAGACATGATAGTGAATTGGTTTAAGACAGCATGACATTATGTCTGTGGAGGAAAAAGGACTTAGCTAACTTTAATCCGTGCCAAGGGAAAAAAGTAGAGATTGAGTAATCCAAGAATGCCACACAGACAAAACCTACTACACCCAGTTATTCAAAATATTTCAGTATTCTCTGGCAATTAACTTTTTAGCAAGAAGCCACAGCCATACAGTAAATTTTTTTGGGAGCACGCGCAGATTGATAACAAATAAAGTTAAATACAAAATAATCATGGAATGACAGACAAAAATGAGAAGAAAGAAATAACCAGACTTCCTAAACAATCTCAACTCATGCACAATAGGAATTCTGCAAATTACTGGTACTTCCACCAGAACAATCCTCCCCCCCCCCCCCCCTTCCCTCCCTCCCAAAAACATCAGTAATTCAATATTCTAAGTGCATGAATCAATATGAGACAATCCCATTATCATTTGTATGGTTAAGAAAGTTGGACAACCATGATATCAAGTATGAACTCAAGATTTTACTTAAACCTTTATGGAAAGCTCTTGGGCATCCATCACAAAGCACAAGCTTCCCACCATCAGCACATGTAATGCACAAGTCATCACTGTTTTTAACTGAACTATTGCGACCTTTTAGTAGAGATATAGCGAATTCATGGAGGGACACTCCATTAGATGTGTAAATATACATGTAGCTGCAGAAAACATGCACTAGATTAACTATCCAGATGAAAATCAGCATTTCACAAGAAAAGCAAACAAAGAGAATGAAGACTAACGGCTTTTTCCGAGAGGCCCAACCAGCATGAGCTTCAAACTGTGATGGACTGATCTGAGCACAAAACAAGAGGCAAAAAAATAAATAATCATCAAAGAATTTACCAGGATTTACAGGGAAGGTTAAAGAAGTAAACATAGTACCTCAGTATTGCAACAAGAACAGAATATACCAAACCCTGTCTTATAACCTACAAGCAACTTCTGTAGATAAAACAATTGAATAAATGACAGCATTAGATGTCAAACTGCCTTGGCATAAAGAATGTATTCCATATAGCTAACTTAAGAACTACAAGAAGAAAGTTTCAACCACCTTTCCATGAGAATAATAAGCTACTTCAGTTCCATCAGGCAGACCACCTTCCTCAAAGACCATCCAATGCATCTTTTGATCCCTAAAGAAAAAGAAAAACAGAGTTCATAAAATCATATGAAAATAGAATAATTGATTAAAAATATGAATGTTTCATATAAACTACAACTTTTTGGTTATTTTCCACTGATTCTTGGTTTGAATAGAAGTGCCTGCTGTAGAGCCTTTTGCATACTTCATCACTGCATTGGACTTGGAAAATCTGAACGAAACAAACAGAATTGTATTAGATGGTGAAAATAGTCATATTTAGTAAAATGGTATTCATGAGAAATAAAAAATCTACCAACTTTTTCAAGATTCTCCCCTTCATCTTCTTTTTGAAAGGATAATGTTTGGAAGCATTTCCAGTTGCCTTCGAAACAAATGCTGGTTCTGATAACCTGAAAAAGGAAGCCATAAAAGATAGATGTTACAAGCATTCCCTCTCTCATTTAATGGAATATCTAAATATGGATAATGGAAGATAAGTAAAATCAAATGACCCTTTTTTTGACATCTTTGACATCTCAGATAGATCCTTTTGTCTTGGCAATATACGCTCTGAAGATCTCAGAGGAGCCTTTCCATTTGAAGCCAAATCCAGGGCCCTATATGTGAAGAAAGAATAAAATAACAAATCCTATAAAAATCTTTTTGATGTGAAAATAGAATCAAAATAAACAAACCCAAAATGATACTGACTTTCTCTTTTTCCTCCCTTTAGTATTAACCATGGACGAAGCAAGAAATTTGACACTTGCAAGGGAGTGTAAGTTCTCAACTGGTTCAGATGTCCTAAGATAGCATTAAAAAAGTGCAAATAAGTTTGAGAAAGAAATCATCAAATTTACTAACCTTTAGCATATTCCCATTAGCAGTGTACATATAGAGAAACAGAATCAACTCATAAGGACACCAAATTGTTTAAAGGGAAAAGGTGACTCAAGTCTGGAAACATTTCTCGAAGTGTAATTAAATTCTGAAAACCAGTAGAAATTTCTAGCCCTACTTCAACTACTATTTGAAAAAACAGAATTGGTTTACTCACTTCAAAATCACATAAGCACAGACTACTAGCGTCCATTAAATCATTAATCTACTAATTAAAATCTGGAACTAATTTTATCATTTTATGTACTTCAAACACTGCAACCTTTTAGTATTTGCAGCAAAAACACACATCTATCTGAAATCAAGCCTTGTTTCACTCACTAGAAATCCAACAAGTCTTAAATTATTACAAAACAGATGACATAAAATACAAGAGTGCATTTCAAAATTCAAAATCAAGCTTACCCCACTTCATCTTCTGATCTTGTAACAATCAAGCATGAATCACATAGTTGAAGATTTGCAGCAGATGTTGTAAGGAATGGCACTAGCAATCACAAAATATCAAACATTTTTAGTCACGTGTATGGCAAAACAATCAAAAACCCCAACATTATTAACTCACCCTTGCAATTCTGACAGACAATGGCTTCCTTTACAGGAGCCGGCCCAATAAAACTGTGAATTGTTTCTTCCAATGTCTTTAATGAACATTTCCTGCACTCCTTAACCACATCAAGGAGGCTCTTCCCATTTTCAAGGCAGATATACTGTGATGCTCGCCTATATGACTTACATGCATGAATCTCAAATTTACAAGGAGGGACAACCTAACAACAAAAATGTGAGAGTACTGAGAAAATTTTTACATTCATAGCAGTTAAACTATTGTCAGATGACCAAACAGAAGTTTTAAAATAATAGATACTCACTATGGATCCCTTGCACATCCCACAAGAACACAGAATTCCAACATCTTTAATTATTCCGCGAAGCAGAACTCCCTAAATCAAGGCAATATCTTAGTCCCAAAGTAAACATAAGCAAGAGGCCAAATCTGTTATATATTAAAATTGTGGAACCAGTTGGTTTAAGCCCAGAAATTGAAGGGGTGATCAGTAGTAGTCTCATGCAAGATAGCAACTAAATCTCCCTTTGGGGTACAATGTGTACACAAAGAGAGACACATACATAAGCTCTCATGAAAAGTCAAGCAAATTATGTCTTAAAAATTACTGGTCATTTCCCAAATATAGAGCTGTTCTTTATATAAAAAATTTCTATGCTCAAAGTTCATAAAAACAAGTCCTAATGCATTGTTAAAATCTTCAATAGTTTCCTATTGTTAGCAAAATTGAAAGTCAACATCTTCCGTGAATATAGCCAAACATGAAAATAAAATCAGAGGTTATTTTCAAGACTATCAAAGGGTTGCATCCACTCTTTATCCATCCAAAACAGAGCACATCATCAAACAAGTTCCATAGAAAATAAATATTCAAGGGGTGACGCCAGCAAACATAAATTATAAGACAAGATTTAACAATGCCCATTTAAAATTTGGTCAAAAAATGAGAACTGGTACTAAATTTAGCAGTTACCCTTTTGCCAGCGTTGTAGACGACTGGATATCCTTCCAGCAGGCCAGTCTCGAAAAGCTCCCTAACAGTGCTTGGCTTTCCTTTTAGAACGATCTTTTTTGACATTTTCATCTCTAGCTTCTTAGTAGGAGTACCCAAGGCAGTCCCAACACCATTCTCGTCTCCAACAGCTTCCACAACATCTTCATTCTCCGTTTCCGAAGCCACTTCCACCTTCAACTGAAAAGCCGAACGAGTAAAACGCCTTAGCACTAGCTTGCCCGCAGCATTCTTCACCACTTCCGTTGACTCTTCTTTGACTTCCACCTCCACCATTTCACTCATCTCACCCTCTCCGCTGAAATCACTCACCAAATTTACGTTCTCATGCTTCCCATCACCGTTACAAGTCACCAAACCCGACTTGCCCAAAATCGTAACCCCGTTACCATCCAAATAAAGATTCAGCTCATTCGAATTTCCAGCATCACCGCCACACCTCATCTCACTCGTACCTTCACCTCTACCGCCCTGCAGGCCAGATAATCCGGCACCGCCATCAGTCGCAGCGGCCGTCTTTAACCTCTTACTCCTCGTGTACACCACAATTCCCTTGCTATCACGAAACCTAACGCTAGACAACTCACCGATCGACGCTGTACCGTTGATTTCCATGTTTGCTCCGACCGGATTATCCACGCCGGACTCCTGCTCCTGAACATCTCGGATTTGAACCTCGGAGTCGGCTAGTTCAGGCAAAGCTTCCAATGCGACATCCGAACCAAGCTTCATTGGCACCACCGTCGTCGGTGTTGCAGAGCAAACACAACGACGGAGAGAGAAAGCAACGGATTCGACTAAACTGAGACCTTCACTATATATATAGGCGACGGAGTTAGAAAATTGGGAGTGGGGAGTGAAAACTTCGCGGTTATGGCGAGAGGAAGAGGAAGACGAACAGAACTGATTTGAGGGGCCAGTGTGGGGGAAGACGGGGAGGGGTAATAAGACTTTAATAAGAAGATTGCTAGGATCTAATAAAAAATTGTCTTTGTTAAATATTTAAATTACTGCTCCATTTAATATATGAATAATTCCACATCAGCCTTGATAATTTTAAAATATTTTTTGAACCTTAGTATTGTTTTTTCTTTTTCTTGAAGTTGGGGATTCAATCCTATAATATTTTTGTATGAAAGGTATGGGGGATAGAAGGAGAGAATATTGAGTATACGGTAATAATGTAAGTTTTTTTTTTAAATTCGCAAGGAAAAAAAAAAATAGCTCAACTAGTATGTTTTTCGTGCGATCAGTGAGCGCGTATCGTGCACAAGCTCACGAACTACGGTAACATAAATCTTTTTTTTTTCTTTTCTTTTTTCTACTTCTCTCTCCCTTATTTGGCACAAAAGTTCTAACAAAAATTTATTACCATTTTAGTTGCTTTTAGAGCATTCTCAATAGTCCAAGATTTTGTCCAATTTTTTAGAATCCAAGTAGGAAAGAGAAAGGAAGGAAAAAAAAACATAAAAAGAAAACATTGAAAAAAGAAAAAAAAAACGGAAAAAGAGAAAAGAAAAAGCAATTAATGAGGGTGGTCGCCAATCGGCGACCACCCTCAACGCACCCATTGAGCGCGTGTAGTACACGCGCTCACTTGGGGATGCTGGCGCAGTAGTTGCAATTTTTTTTTTTAGTGTGTGAGACCTGCTTTAAGGGACAAAAGAAAACAGCACTCCAAGAATTTAAATCTTCTCTCTCCAAGACACTCTCTCTTCCACCGTGGATCAAACCTCCTCAAAGGTTGAGTTAAAATCTATATTGGGGAACGGATGCTCTTAGAAACTATATCTATGACGCAAGGAAAATTAAAACATATTTGAACCTCGGAGTCGGCTAGTTCAGGCACAGCTTCCAATGCGACATCCGAATCAAGCTTCATTGGCGCCAACGTCGTCGGTGTTGCAGAGCAAACACAACGACGGAGAGAAAAAGCGACGAATTCTACTAAAGTGAGACGTTCACTATATATAGGCGAAGTGAGTTAGAAAATTGGGAGTGGGGAGTGAAAACTTCGCGGTTATGGCGAGAGGAAGAGGAAGAAGAAGATAACAGATTTGAGGGGCCGGTGTGGGGGAAGAGGGGGAGGGGTATTAAGACGTCAATGAGAAGATTGCGAGGATCTAATAAAAAATTACCTTTGTTAAATATTTAAATTACCGCTCCATTTAGTATATGGATAATCCCACATAAGCCATTGACAGTTTTAAAATATCTTTTGGACCATAATATTGTTTTTTCTTTTCCTTGAAGTTGGTAATTCAATCCTATATTATTTTTGTATGAAAGGGATGGAGGATAGTAGGAGAGAATGTTGAGTATACGGTAATAATGTAAGTTTTTTTTTAGATTCGCAAGAGAAAAAAAAAAAAAAAAGTAGCTCAGCTAGTATGTATTTCGTGCGATTAGTGGGCGCGTATCGTGCACAAGCTCACGAAGTACGGAAATATAAATCTTCTTTTTTTCTTTTTTTTTTTTCTACTCCTCTCTCCCTTATTTGGCACAAAAGTTCTAACAAAAATTTAATACCATTTTAGTTGCTTTTAGAGCATTCTCAATAGTCCAAGATTTTGTACAATTTTTTAGAATCCAAGTAGGAAAGAGGAAGGAAGGAAAAAAAACGTAAAAAGAAAAAAAAAACGTAAAAAGAAAAAAAACGTAAAAAGAAAAAAACGGAAAAAGAAAAAAAAAACGGAAAAAAGAAATAAAAAGGAAAAAGAAAAAAGAAAAAGAAATTAATGAGGGTGGTCGCCAATCGGTGACCACCCTCAACGCGCCCATTGAGCGCGTGTAGTACACGCGCTCACTTGGCGCTGCGGGTGCGCTTATAGCGCACTAGTTGCATTTTTTTTTTAAGTGTGTGGGACCTGCTTCAAGGGACAAAAAAACAACACTCCAAGAATTTAAATCTTATCTCTCCAAGACACTCTCTCTTCCACCTTGGATCCAACCTCCTCAAACGTTGAGCTAAAATCTATATTGGGGAACGGATGCTCTTAGAAACTATATCTATGACGCAAGGAAAATTAAAACATATTTGAACCTCGGAGTCGGCTAGTTCAGGCACCGCTTCCAATGCGACATCCGAATCAAGCTTCAATGGCGCCACCGTCGTCGGTGTTGCAAAGCAAACACAATGACGGAGAGAAAAAGCGACGAATTCTACTAAAGTGAGACGTTCACTATATATAGGCGAAGTGAGTTAGAAAATTGGGAGTGGGGAGTGAAAACTTCGCGGTTATGGCGAGAGGAAGAGGAAGACGAAGAGAACTGATTTGAGGGGCCGGAGTGGGGGAAGAGGGGGAGGGGTAATAAGACGTCAGTGAGAAGATTGCAAGGATCTAATTGAAAATTACCTTTGTTAAATATTTAAATTACCGCTCCATTTAGTATATTGATAATACCACATAAGCCCTTGACAATTTTAAAATATCTTTTGGACCTTAATATTGTTTTTTCTTTCCCTTGAAGTTGGTGATTCAATCCTATATTATTTTTGTATGAAAGGGATGGAGGATAGTAGGAGAGAATGTTGAGTATACGGTAATAATGTAAGTTTTTTTTAAGATTCGCAAGAGAAAAAAAAATGTAGCTCAGCTAGTATGTATTTCGTGCGATCAGTGGGCGCGTATCGTGCACAAGCTCACGGAGTACGGTAACATAAATCTTCTTTTTTTTCTTTTATTTTTTCTACTTCTCTCTCCCTTATTTGGCACAACAGTTCTAACAAAAATTTATTACCATTTTAGTTGCTTCTAGAGCATTCTCAATAGTGCAAGATTTTATACAATTTTTTAGAATCCAAGTAGGAAAGATGAAGGAAGGAAAAAAAAAACGTAAAAAGAAAAAAAATGAAAAAAAGAAAAAAACGTAAAAAGAAAAAAAAAACAGAAAAAAGAAAAAAAACGGAAAAAAGAGAAAAGAAAAAGCAATTAACGGCGACCACCCTCAACGCGCCCATTGAGCGCGTGTAGTACACGCGCTCACTTGGGGATGCTGGCGCACTAGTTGCAATTTTATTTTTTTTAGTGTGTGGGACCTGCTTTAAGTAACAAAAAACACAGCACTCCAAGAATTTAAATCTTCTCTCTCCAAGACACTCTCTCTTCCACCGTGGATCAAACCTCCTCAAAGGTTGAGTTAAAATCTATATTGGGGAACCGATGCTCTTAGAAACTATATCTATGACGCAAGGAAAATTAAAACATATTTGAACCTCGGAGTCGGCTAGTTCAAGCACAGCTTCCAATGCGACATCCGAATCAAGCTTCATTGGCGCCAACGTCGTCGGTGTTGCAGAGCAAACACAACGACGGAGAGAAAAAGCGACGAATTCTACTAAAGTGAGACGTTCACTATATATAGGCGAAGTGAGTTAGAAAATTGGGAGTGGGGAGTGAAAACTTCGCGGTTATGGCGAGAGGAAGAGGAAGAAGAAGATAACTGATTTGAGGGGCCGGTGTGGGGGGAAAGGGGGAGGGGTAATAAGACGTCAATGAGAAGATTGCGAGGATCTAATAAAAAAATTACCTTTGTTAAATATTTAAATTACCGCTCCATTTAGTATATGGATAATCCCACATAAGCCATTGACAGTTTTAAAATATCTTTTGGACCTTAATATTGTTTTTTCTTTTCCTTGAAGTTGGTGATTCAATCCTATATTATTTTTGTATGAAAGGGCTGGAGGATAGTCGGAGAGAATGTTGAGTATACGGTAATAATGTAAGTTTTTTTTAGATTCGCAAGAGAAAAAAAAAACAAAGTAGCTCAGCTAGTATGTATTTCGTGCGATCAGTGGGCGCGTATCGTGCACAAGCTCCCGAAGTACGAAAACATAAATCTTATTTTTTTCTTTTCTTTTTTCTACTTCTCTCTCCCTTATTTGGCACAAAAGTTCTAACAAAAAATTAATGCCATTTTAGTTGCTTTTAGAGCATTCTCAAAAGTCCAAGATTTTGCACAATTTTTTAGAATCCTAGTAGGAAAGAGGAAGGAAGGAAAAAAAAACGTCAAAAGAAAAAAATGAAAAAAAGAAAAAAAAAACGTAAAAAGAAAAAAAAACTTAAAAAGAGAAAAGAAAAAGCAATTAATGAGGGTGGTCGACAGTCAGCGACCACCCTCAATGCACCCATTGAGGGCGTGTAGTACACGCGCTCACTTGGCGCTGCTGGTGCGCTTATAGCGCACTAGCTGTAATTTTTTTTTTTAAGTGTGAGGTACTTCAAGGGACAAAAAAACAGCACTCCAAGAATTTAAATCTTCTCTCCCCAAAGACACTCTCTCTTCCACATTTGATCAAACCTCTTCAAAGGTTGAGCTAAAATCTATATTGGGGAACGGATGTTCTTAGAAACTATATCTATGACGCAAGGAAAATTAAAACATATTTGAACCTTGGAGTCGGCTAGTTCAGGCACAGCTTCCAATGCGACATCCAAATCAAGCTTCATTGGCGCCACCGTCGTCGGTGTTGTAGAGCAAACACAATGACGGAGGGAGAAAGCGACGGATTCTACTAAAGTGAGACGTTCACTATATATAGGCGAAGTGAGTTAGAAAATTAGGAGTGGGGAGTGAAAACTTCGCGGTTATGGAGAGACGAAGAAGAAGACGAAGAGAACTGATTTGAGGGGCCGGCGTGGGGGAAGAGGGAGAGGGGTAATGAGACGTCAGTGAGAAGATTGCGAGGATCTAATAGAAAATTACCTTTGTAAAATATTTAAATTACCGCTCCATTTAGTATATGGATAATCCCACATAAGCCCTTGACAATTTTAAAATATCTTTTGGACCTTAATATTGTTTTTTCTTTCCCTTGAAGTTGGTGATTCAATCCTATATTATTTTTGTATGAAAGGGATGGAGGATAGTATGAGAGAATGTTGAGTATACGGTAATAATGTAAGTT